CACCCATACGTCCGTGGCACAATTATATGGCCTCTCATTAGTACACAAATCAGTCGTTCCGCTACGTCCAATCGTTTCTCTTCGAAGCACGTCCACATAAGGGCTGACAAACAGGCTATTCCAGAATTTGAGGTTTCTTACTGTGGACTTACAAACGATAGACCCGTCGGTAGTACAATTCCTAGACAAACTAAATGCAATCAAATTTAAACAGAAGACAGGATGACGTTATTTGATGTTGTCTCACTCTTCACTGCACGCTGCACGGACAATTACATGTCCTTATATATTATGGCCTCAAATAAGCCCATCTAAACAAATGTCTAGACCACATAGGAAAGAGAGGCAGTCCCAATGTGAATCGCTTTGAGTGAATTCCGTTAGCGATCGAAGAACGTTCAGCAGCAAATCTCATTTTACCTTTTCTCACACATCTCGTCCCAGTAATAAGGTCATCTTAAAATGACGGGAGACAAGTTCGGACGCGTGAGACAAGAAATATAAATCGTTGATCTACAGTATCACACAATACCTGCATCCTACAGGATGTAATACCTTTCTACGATAGCGGCTTGTACTTCCTATATGTGCCCGTACCAGTAAAGCGATGTTAATATTGGAGCCATTATCACCAAATTATCAGTATTTAGGGGAAGTGACATATCTCGACAATTGGCCACTCTCAGTGAGTTAAGTCTCACCCCATCGGGAGTTGACTTGCCAAGAAAATTTGAGTTCGAGAGTACGCCTTACTTTCCCGTCCCTCTCAACGGCGCAAAACGGTCTACCGCATTGGCTAGACACCTGTCGCTCGAATTTCAGCATGCTTTTTCAACCCCCCCCCATTTGCGAAAGTAGATACATATATATGCATATGCTGACGTAAATTCTACGAAGCCAAATTTGCGCGTTTCCTGACTCAACCTCTTCTAGTCTGGTCGGCTGCTCTTCAGCCCGTTTTTGATAAATTTCCATACAAACGCCTCAACGCCACATATTTGGGTCCACCTTGGTAAATAAACCTGACATACAGTAACTCGCTTTAAATTAACCTTGCGATACAGATCCCAGATATTGTTTATAAACAACATATACTTTTTTGCTTATCCACAGGTATCACATTAATATACCGTCAAAATTGCTGCCTACTTCTTATCGCAGGCGTTATCCTTCTCATCTTCCAAAGGTGCGTCCCCGGGCTCCTTTGCCTCTAGTTTTCCTTCGATCATATAGAGTTCACAATCTTGGCCGTAGGTCCTAAACTAACTTAAAGAAAAGTATACGCAGCTTTTACGCACAGTGCATGCTCCGTTCATTCAAAATCGCCATTTGGAAGTCTCATATTCTAAATCTAGTTTAAGTGTGTGTAGAAAATGTCTAGTCTCCTACTAGAACATGTCATGGTTAATACTTTGGTATGCGCATAAACGATAAATTACATTTTGGATGATGTTTATGAGGTTATATGTATGGTAGTGTGGTGAACCTCTACGCAGTTACTTCGTAGATTATTGATCCATATGGAAAATTAAAAAAAATTAAAATTTAAAAACTGATGTATCGTCCACAAACAAGGAATTCTGAAGGACCTGCTGGTGACCCGGATCCTTCGCTGCTTTTTTTAAGCAGCGGCAGAATAGCGACCAAACACATATGCGTCTATTAATGAGCACCTCATTGATTCAGTGCTCATACTACAAAATGGGAAGACTGTTAGAGTGGAAGTGCCATTGGGATGTTTCCTGATAAAAAAAATGTTTAAGAGAATGGCAGCAACACCAAACTCAATACCGGTGGAAACTACAGGCGTTTCCACAAGCTCAGATTAATTCCATCGGGTTCGGTGACAGTCTGCCGATCGAATGAACTGCCACTGATTTAAGACGATTGTTTATGAGACTGCAACAGTTTATATTTCCGCTCCTAGAATGAGATAAATGCGATGATTGCTTGCATTAAGTTCATAAAATTTTCCAGAAAAGGGTGTAAATGTTTGAGCCCTGATGCAACAAGCGGATTCTGTTTTTTTCTTTTTCAAACAGTACTACCTTGCATGCCAACTGTTATTTATAACTGGCAGGCCAGTTTAATGTAGGTCCATCGCTTCCGCATGAAACTCGATTGCCTGTCTTTAAAAATATGACCTTCCAGAACATTGTGAGTTTTTACCATAAATATTTATTTTTGTAGCAAATTAATTGACCCAAAATTTTGGAGGTCTTCGGTTTCACGGTCAGTTGTCCGTCGGCTAACAAAGGTACTAATCTTACGAGTATTCCGTGTTAAACTTTAAAAATCCTTTTGGTAAAATATGTTTACCGTAAATCAGCATCCTGTTTATTGACCGGTAAACAAGACAGATGATCGAACGCCGGAACGATTTGTATTTTATTCTAAGCTTTGAGACTCTTCCTGGAGTTCATCGTCAGAGATGGGTAGCAGCAAAAAAAAGAGTGGCTGGTTATAGCCTGTGAACAAACAGTTAACATTTGAACGTGTAAAAAATCCATAATTGTTAGGTTTGGGCGCCAAATGGCCACTCTTTTGTTGCAGCTTCCCATCTCTGACGATGGACTCTGGTAAGAGTTTGAAAGCTCAGAATACAATACAAAACGTTCCAGTGTTCGATCATCTCTCTTCTTTACCGATACAAATACCTGGAGTGCGACCGTTTTCTTTCATTCGTTTTTATGGAGCAAAAAATTGCGGAATATGGACAGGGTTTATGAATGTTTTGTAAGTAATGCAGTAGTCGCCGGTCATTAAGCCCACCTAGGGCCCAGACCGAATTGGGCTTAATAAGCGGCAGGCGCACTAACCGGAATGTCCTAGTTCTTGACTAGCAAACGCAGGATAGGCACTACATATTACATACGTACTGTATTATGTGTAGAGATTGGTTATGTACAAGAAAAGAATGCTGTTCTTCTCTATTTTACGTAATAACAAAAACAAAAAAAATGATTTATGACACGTTTCAAAAAAGCGGTCTAGTGTCAGTTGTTTTGGAGGAAACTTCACTCACAAGTGC